TTTCCCTCGGTGTAAATCTTTTAACAAAAGTTATGGCTAGGTCTTCAGTATTTGAATACATATTGCTTAATGCAGTAATTACAAATTGCAATGCTGGCTGACAATTTCACACTCTGTTGACCTCTTAGTCCGTAAAAGGCGTAACAAGGGCTAAAAGGCGTAACAAGGGCTGTGGCTGAAGGTTGGAAAAAGACAAGGCAGTTCACCCCCTTTGTTTCGCGGGGGGAGGGGTGTAATAGGAACCCCTTCCTTGGCTAAAGCTATGAGTGCGATGGATCTATGAAAATTTCGGGCAAGGCAGTACCTAAACTAAGCTACGGCCGCACACATGGGCTCCTACCTGTCCTCAGGTGGGTATTACGTCCCTTTGTTTGTACGGCAGCGTGACTGTCAATCATTTTTCCAGTCATATCGCACTGAGAGTGTATACACAGGTGGGGGCGGGGCCTACGCATGTCAATACACAACTATTTGTGTCAAGTTTTGCGAGACGAGAGGAGGTCGCTGCTGTTTTATCCACATTTAACGCGTACGCAGTCAAAATTACTGTGACTGTTTCACTGTGGTGTTTTAAGATTGCTTAGTTTATCTCTGCGTTGATTTGAAGTTGTAAAATAAAAGCCAGATTAAATGAAAAAGAGCAAAATAGTTTGTTGTGTATTGTATTCACGATTTGATGACGTCACCATTTCCAGCCACATGCGCCCAGACCTAAACCAGTCCTCATTTTATGTTATACTTGAGCGTGAGAAATTAACAAAGAAAATCTACAAATTGGAGGCCAAAATCGGTTTGATTGTTGCACGTTGATAGGGATCGACTTAGGTAAGTGTCGAAGCTCTCATCTGCTGGGTGTTTTTGGGGTGGAATCACGTGTTTAGATGACAAATTTATTCATCCATCGGATTCATTTCATCTCGCTACTTTGTTCCTTCATCTTATAGATTTTCTAGGTTACCAAGCAGGTGCGTTTTACACCTCTTCTCGAGCCTAAATCCGCCTAGACCCCTCAAAATTCTTCCCTCAGAGACTGTAGGAAGGTTAGAGGAGCCTTTGTGTTGAATTTTGATGCACTGCATGCCCATTTTACCGGCAAATTTCGAGAATTACTTTACGTGTTTTCCATCTTGTAGCAATCGTGTACTTAAAATTATTGACTATTTATCCCTCCCGGCCGCCATTTTTATCTACCGCTTCTCGTAGCTTTTCCTTTGTTCGTTTTTACTGGACTTTCTCACTATTTCCACCTCTTAAAACTTACTACCAAGGTTTATACAGGGTCGGGGCCCCCACAGCTCAAAGTTAGTGTAGAATCACGGCGGCAAATTCAAGATTTTTAAAAATCCGGAGGTTTTATTTCTTATCCCTAATTTATTCATCTCGTCGAAGAAAGGTTGCCTTTTATAATGCATGACCTAGAAGCGAGAGGATACATATGGATCGGCGGCGGCTGGAAGATTAACAGTTGCAGGGTGAATTTGAAGACATTTTGGTTCAAAATATCTGCATTTTTTACTCGTGGAGGGTTTGTTTTGAAGAGTCTACTGGTGTGCTGGTAGAGCAATCTGTGGATTAAACTTGGGATGTCAGTCATGGTTTTACATCAAAATGAAACATTTATCAAACTGTGTTTACATTAATTTGTGAGAGCAGTGTATTTCTTGTGGAGGTATTGACAGAAGAGTCATAGACTGTACTCGGCTGGCCTTGTAACTTTCAGGCAGCGGAGTTATATTACCATGCCTAGCTCAGTTGTTGGGTCAAGATTTTAAAAATTTTGCTCTGTGTTAAAGTCAGCATCTGTTAGAGATTGTATNTTGAAACCATCAATTCACAAATCGCAGTGAATAAAACTTTATTCACATCTTACTGATAATGCCAGTCGAATATCCTGAAGAAATCACAAATCACTGGGTATAATGACTTCGTTTCACGAAGGGCGAAATAATAAGCAGCATTTACGAGTCACGGGTATGGGATGCTAAATAATATATTTAGATGATCACGCTAAATAATATGAACGTTTCACGCATCTTGGGGAAAAATGGCTTTCGCGTTTCACAAAAATACCCAAAGAGACCCTCGTACAGAAACTTATTGTTTTCATTGCAGTACTTTTCCAATTTGTCAAAAGTAACCTAACTACTCAACGCAATTTGGACGGCGAAATCTCCCCCCCCCATAAGGAATAAACAAAATCAGCGTGTGCACGCGCCGTTTCATATTTTTGGGAGTCTGGCGGAAAACGCACTCGTATGCTTCTGCGTCATCTACGGGAGCGAAGTGCAAATGGACGTATCGCACACCTTGCTGACGAATAGTGAAGACTGATCACATCACGACTGATTTGAATATTAAGTTTCAATCATGGGAGATCACCGTGTAGGCTACATATGCCATGATATCCCTTTTATATCGTGTTTTTTTCTGTTCAAAACAATGTAAACATAGACTGGGTTCCCATAGATTTAGATCGATCTATCAGGATCGACCTAACTCCTTGGGGGTTCACGCTAAATTGCTGTCAGGTTCCGAGAGCCGAGCGCGCACAAAAGTTAATTACCCCCTTACAGCTTTTAGTCGGCGGGACAGACATTTAAGCCGGTCAGGCTGACAACAATCTAGTGAGACTCCCCACGGGGATAGATCGATCTAAATATCTATGGGAATGCACTCTTTTTTAGTCAGTTGTAATACCTAACATGCTCAGTTAAATGAAGGATGGACCACAATGTGTGGAGATGGACATACTTGATCATTCAAGTACTATGATGGAGATACCGATGTTTATCTCTCCAATTCAATTTTGACTGCTTGACTTACTGATATTGTGAGAAGAAAAAAAAAAAAAAAAAAACTTCTCTTCTAATGCTTCTGCCCACAGGATAAATCAGGATAAATTACATATCCATCTATTGGCCTTCCTGCTAATTTTAGATTTAATAAATCGAGTTTTCGGGGAGAGGTGATAAAAAATTAACCAGATTTTACCTATAATTTCCTTCTTTTTTATTTTTAATTCGTGACTTTTGTCTTTGGCCTTGATTCACCAAACAGTAAGTGTGTCAGCTCTCGTATGTTAGTCATTTTTTCCAGTCAGATCAGAACAGTAGATCTAAAGTTATAAAACGCATTTATTAAAAAGGTCATTCCTAACCGAAAGCTCGAAAATGTCAAATAGTCAGAAAGAGAACAATGTCAAAAAGAATGTGTTAGATGAGTCACTATTACAATAACAGATTGGAATGCGCTATGATAATCACAAAGAAAGAAAAAAAAAAGAAAAAAAGAAAAGAAAGAAAGAAAGAAAGAAAAAAACGGACTTTGCCAACAAGCTGCAGGTCGAAAGTAACATTGAACTTGTTAGGTCTGTTGTTCTGATAATACTTAGTGTTTTGGTGTTAAGTGTAAGGGCGTGTGTGTGTGTGTGTGCTTGCGTATGTATGTGCATGTTTGTGCGTGTGTGTGTGCGCGCGTGTGTGTTATTGACTGAATTTTATTGACTGGTATTTGGAGAGAGAGAGAGAGAGAGAGAGAGAGAGAGCAGAATATATCAATAGTAAACATATAGATCATTTGAAAAAGCCTGTTGGTGAACAACCATAGAAATATTTAGGTGCGTAGGCCTACTTCAAACATGACAACACGGTCCACTTCCCGCCTTTTCTATTTGTTCCCATCTTCCTTTCCGCCTCTCTCTCTCTCTCTCTCTCTCTCGTAACATAGTAAGGGGGAGCACTCGTTGGCAACTTACATAAATGCAGTGGGGGTTTAGAGGGGGGGGGGCAGGTGGGTGCTGACCCCCCCCCCCCTTCGATTTTTGAAAAAAAATCTGACCAATGGTGTCCTATTGAAATTAGAATTTTGCCTAGCTGAATCATAGTTCTTAACCGTACCAAATGGCACCGTTCACCCTCTAAAATAATTTTCGGAACCGAACCCCACGTCAATGGGGGCAGGGTTGGGGGAGGGTCGGACCCCCCCCCCCCTTCAAATAATCCTGGATCGTCCCTGTTAATGTTATGTTGCTTTGCTGGATACGCTTGGTTTTAGATATTTGTAGTTCCTTGCTTTACCATCATGAATTTAGGCATACCCTTAAATTCGTGATGTTAGAAAGAATTTCCCATGAGGTAAGAAAACCCAAGAGAATAGTGACAAAAGAATTCTAACACCTGTATATTACGGAACAGACACCAAAAAAAAAAAAAAAAAAAAAAAAAATTAGGCCTATACGAGCATCATCCGTTCATCGCTGTTTAAAATCGATAATTATTGAAATAATGAGATCAAAATAATTGACAGGGGTGTCACTCAGTGTAAATCTTTTAACAAAAGTTATGGCTAGGTCTTCAGTATTTGAATACATATTGCTTAATGCAGTAATTACAAATTGCAATGCTGGCTGACAATTTCACACTCTGTTGACCTCTTAGTCCGTAAAAGGCGTAACAAGGGCTGTGGCTGAAGGTTGGAAAAAGACAATTAGGCAGTTCACCCCCTTTGTTTCGCGGGGGGAGGGGGGGTAATAGGAACCCCTTCCTTGGCTAAAGCTATGAGCACGATGGATCTATGAACATTTCGGGCAAGGCAGTACCTAAACTAAGCTACGGTCGTACACATGGGCTCCTACCTGTCCTCAGGTGGGTATTACGTCCCTTTGTTTGTACGGCGGCGTGACTGTCAATCATCTGTTCCAGTCATATCGCACTCTGAGTGTACGTACAGGTGTGGGCGGGGCCTACGCATGTCAATACACAACTATTTGTGTCAAGTTTTGCGAGACGAGAGGAGGTCGCTGCTGTTTTATCCACGTTTAACGCGTACGCAGTCAAAATTACTTTGACTGTTTCACTGTGGTGTTTTAAGATTGCTTAGTTTACCTGTGCGTTGATTTGAAGTTGTGAAATAAAAGCCAGATTAAATGAAAAAGAGCAAAATAGTTTGTTGTGTATTGTATTCACGATTTGATGACGTCACCATTTCCAGCCACATGCGCCCAGACCTAAACCAGTCCTCATTTTATGTTATACTTGAGCGTGAGAAATTAACAAAGAAAATCTACAAATTGGAGGGCAAAATCGGTTTGATTGTTGCACGTTGATAGGGATCGACTTAGGTAAGTGTCGAAGCTCTCATCTGCTGGGTGTTTTTGGGGTGGAATCACGTGTTTAGATGACAAATTTATTCATCCATCGGATTCATTTCATCTCGCTACTTTGTTCCTTCATCTTATAGATTTTCTAGGTTACCAAGCAGGTGCGTTTTACACCTCTTCTCGACCCTTAATCGGCCTAGACCCCTCAAAATTCTTCCCTCAGAGGCTGTAGGAAGGTTAGAGGAACCTCTGTGTTGAATTTTGATGCACTGCATGCCCATTTTACCGGCAAATTTCGAGAATTACTTTACGTGTTTTCCATCTTGTAGCAATCGTGTACTTAAAATTATTGACTATTTATCCCTCCCGGCCGCCATTTTTATCTACCGCTTCTCGTAGCTTTTCCTTTGTTCGTTTTTACTGGACTTTCTCACTATTTCCACCTCTGAAAACTTACTACCAGGGTTTATACAGGGTCGGGGCCCCCACAGCTCAAAGTTAGTGTAGAATCACGGCGGCAAATTCAAGATTTTTAAAAATCCGGAGGTTTTATTTCTCATCCCTAATTTATTCATCTCGTCGAAGAAAGGTTGCCTTTTATAATGCATGACCTAGAAGCGAGAGGATACATATGGATCGGCGGCGGCTGGAAGATTAACAGTTGCAGGGTGAATTTGAAGACATTTTGGTTCAAAATATCTGCATTTTTTACTCGTGGAGGGTTTGTTTTGAAGAGTCTACTGGTGTGCTGGTAGAGCAATCTGTGGATTAAACTTGGGATGTCAGTCATGGTTTTACATCAAAATGAAACATTTATCAAACTGTGTTTACATTAATTTGTGAGAGCAGTGTATTTCTTGTGGAGGTATTGACAGAAGAGTCAGAGACTGTACTCGGCTGGCCTTGGTAACTTTCAGGCAGCGGAGTTATTTTACCATGCCTAGCTCAGTTGTTGGGTCAAGATTTTAAAAATTTTGCTCTGTGTTAAAGTCAGCATCTGTTACAGATTGCCCTGACTTGTAGACCCGAATGTGACAACTTTGTTGCTTGCCTTAGATGTTTTTCCTTTTTCCCCCCATTTGATTTTAAATTTTATTAAAAACCCTTATTCCCAAGAATTTTTTGTCACAGCTGCAAGTGCCGACAATTATGAATTAGTTATACATACACCTTGCAGTCAGCTGTGTTGTTAAGCTAACCTAAAGCTTGTGTCTGGTGAAATAATGTTAATTTCCTTTCATATTTTCATAATATTGGATAAAGAATATGTACTATAGCTGATACATATAGCATTTATTTTTTCTAGGCCCATATACCAGCATTCGGTGCTTAAAAAATCTAAAACCCGATAACTTATGTGGATGAACTGGTGAACATTAAAATCATTTTTCTGTCTAGTGCCTTGCACAAAATTTTATAAATAAGAGACTGTTGTCTTATTGTAACTGTAAAAAGATTACTTCTGGTTGACCTGTCTGAGCTAAGGGGCTTTGGTTAGTGGACTGTTAGAATTTTCAACCAAATTTGCCGCTTTAACTCACTGGAAAATGTTCAACTAATGGAAGAGTACATCTAATTCAAACAATAATAGAGGACACAAGAAAACTCTCATATCATCAGGCCAGTATATAGCCAGCAATTTCTAAGGGGAGGAGGGGTTTTCTATTTCTGAAAAAGTGGACCTTTTGCCATGAAACCTTTGTGTACCTAGATCAAATTTTACCCGGGCAGAATTTTTCCTGACAAAGTGGGCAGTGTGTGTGAACCCCCAAACCTCCACAGCTACAGGCCTGGTCATATTTACATGAAGTCCCAAAATATTTTTTCAGCAAAATGAAATATGAAGTTAATTATTTTTAGTCTATTTTTTTCAAATTGATTTAAATCTCAGCTATAAGCAAATATTTTGTACACTTTGTTTATATTGTTTTCTGGACAGGTTGGAGTAACATAAAAACTGTATGTTTTTCAGTAAAAGTTTTCGTCTGAATAAAAATGTTATTATGGATATTAAATAGCCTGTTTAAACTTAAACTAAATATAATAGTTATAGATATAATACAATGGCATGTTATCAATGTATTATAGCAATGTATTATAGATATAATATAGTACATTGATAACATGTCATTTATTACTGCTAAGATCTATACTAATACCTTTTAGAAAAAATAAATCCTTGAAGTTAAGTGAGATAAATCTCTTTCTTTTTACCTTATGCAACGTTTTTAATTTCATGTCTGTGCGTTTTATCAGTTATATCTAGCCTCTGCAAGGCATCTTATTAAGTTCTTAACTGTATATCGTTTTTTTTTTTTTTTTTTTGGCTGACACTCTAATAAACTTCTTGAATTTTACATTATATGACAGTTGTTGAAATGTGAGCCCTGAGTACTAGTAAGCGCATGGAAATGTTTTGTCACTCGTCAAGGTAGACATCAGAAAGTAGCCCTATACTCACTCAGCGGCTTAAAAATTACTTGCCAGTGTGGGAAGTGCTCGATGGGCCGGTTTCACTGAAGCTTTTGACTGAAAAACCATAAATTTTAGCCTGCTTTTTGACCTATCCTCTGTCNATATAGTACATTGATAACATGTCATTTATTACTGCTAAGATCTATACTAATACCTTTTAGAAAAAATAAATCCTTGAAGTTAAGTGAGATAAATCTCTTTCTTTTTACCTTATGCAACGTTTTTAATTTCATGTCTGTGCGTTTTATCAGTTATATCTAGCCTCTGCAAGGCATCTTATTAAGTTCTTAACTGTATATCTTTTTTTTTTTTTTTTTTATGGCTGACACTCTAATAAACTTCTTGAATTTTACATTATATGACAGTTGTTGAAATGTGAGCCCTGAGTACTAGTAAGCGCATGGAAATGTTTTGTCACTCGTCAAGGTAGACATCAGAAAGTAGCCCTATACTCACTCAGCGGCTTAAAAATTACTTGCCAGTGTGGGAAGTGCTCGATGGGCCGGTTTCACTGAAGCTTTTGACTGAAAAACCATAAATTTTAGCCTGCTTTTTGACCTATCCTCTGTCATGGCCACACAGAGAATATTTCCACCAATTATTCACAATCATGTATATATTTGCTGGCTATTCCCTATGCCAGCTATGCATACTCTGACAAGAGTTTTTGCACAGGACGACACCATAACTAGCCTGGCCACACAGTTAATATTTTCACCAGGTATTCACAATCTATATATTTTTCTGGCTATTCCTAATGCTAGCTATAAGCATACTCCGACAAGAGTTTTTGCACATAACTATACCACAACTAGGCTTCTTTTGTAGAGGGGATCTTTTGCTACTTTAATTTGGTGTACACACCACTAAGCATTTGTCCTAAATTATAGTATTAGTAACTCAAAAATTTCAATCCAAGACCATTGCATTGTCAGCTCTGAAATCTCAGCATCAGTTAGTGAATGATTGTTTATTTAATCTGCAACCTGTGAGCCAGTTTATTAATTTGTAATGCAGGTCTAGATGCAAATGAACTATAGCAGAGCATAAATGAAATAAAGTTGGAGATGAATATTTATGAAACTGACAGATATTACTGAAACTTAAAAACTGGTGCATTTTCCAGATTGATTATGATATACAAAGGGGAGGGGGAGGAAGGAAAGACTGAACATTTACCGTCACCAGCAAAATTCATGTACTTTCTTTGCTAGACCCTTATAACTAATTGAAGGAGAAGAAAAAGAAAACATTCATAATTTATCATGCACCTTTACAGGTGGAGTTGTACCAGCATAAAAACAACTACTAGTAACTCATTAGAAGTAGGCTAGTGTTAATTTCTTTCTCAGTCTGTGAAAAAGCAAGTTGAATGGTATTAACATGATCTCTAGCATTTTCACTTCATTAAAAGTGAAGTGATTTTATCACTCTAAAAAGCCACAATATGTTATTGAGACATAAAAAACGGGCCTTTAACCCCTCCCCAGTAGCCCCTGGTTGTTATTATGAGTGAAAATTTATTACCCAGCAATTTTGCTGTCATAAAATGTCCAGTGATCTAAATATCCAATATTTTCACAACAGAACATCTTAATATCAGACAAAGGAGCCACACAGTTTGATTCATCAGTTTCTTATCACGGCATCATCTAGAATGTTTCACAATCAATGCAGAAATGTGCCTAGTCCCTGTTGGGTTTTCATTCATAAGTGGCCCCAGTGGATGCTCTGGCTTCCTTTACTTCTGCCTGAGTTTGACTGGAGCTGAACTGATCTAAGTGACAACGGCAGTGAGGATGAATTGTAATCAAGCTTTCGTGGGGCCAAAATACAGTCCATTTTGTCACAAAGACTGAACAGCCATGCTAGTATATATATCTTTTTGTTTTTTTATTCAATTAAAAAGAAAGACTGCTGAGAAAATGCTAAAAATACTTCTTTTGTTTTCTTTTTCAGACAAATTATGTTCTATTCATAGTTTGAATTAAGTTAATTGTCACCTTACTGTGAATCAGTCCACTATTAAAACAAAGCCATTTCTCTAGTTCAGTTATGACAGCATTTCTTATATTATCTCTGTTGAATGTATTGATTGTTCTTCTACACATAAGTCAGCAGCTTCGTGTCTTTGTGGTCAGTGTTTTAAGACACTATTGGACATGTGTCTTGTCATGTGTCGGATCCAGTGATTGCAATCAAGATCCAGTGATTGTAATCAAGATCCAGTGATTGCAATCAGTTGTCACAAATGACATCACATGAAGTGCTGAGGTTGGCTGGCATGGCACCAAGTTAAGTCGGCATAAGTGAAATGTAAGTGCGCCTCAGTCTTGTGTATGGCAATAATGTCAACATGTTTTAAGAGATACTTCAGCGTATGTCTACAGCATTTAATGCTTTCATGGGTGCTGTGGAAAGTCTGATACTTTGTTCACATGTGAGTCAGGGAATTCAATGAGAATAACAATTGTGTCATTGACGCTTACCTCACTGTTGTTTTGCTGAGATGAGAACTAATGGGGATTTTTTTCAGGTGGATAATTTTGTAAACACGAGAGTAAGATTAGAGAGGCATAAAGTATAATAGAAAAAGTTCATTGTAAAGTTCCTTTTGTGTTATAAGAACTGGAAAATAACTAGAAAGCCTGAAAATAAGATACCTCTTGAAGCAACGTGTCAGTGAGGAGTTTTTAAAGATGAAGATACTTAGAACACTCATATCTGGATTAGAATTCTTAGTTTTTTGGTGAATACATGAAGACATGAAAACATCCAGAATGAAGATGGATTACATGTTGTATGTGGGAATGGAGTAGAAACTTAAGAGTCCCTTTTTTAATGGAGTTAGAATTCTCAAAAAAAAAAAAAATAAATAAATAAAATAAAATAAAATAAAATAAAATAAATAAATAAATAAATAAATAAATAAATAAATAAAAATAATAATAAAATAAATAAATGAATAAAAAAGTAAGTTTTTGCAGTAAATGTTGAGTGAATGTAGATTTGCTGGTAGATAAAATATGTACGTACTCGGTTTCTGAATTGAGAGACCAACACATAACTGGCTGAACTCTCTGCTCCATTAGTTATATTAAGAATAAATACAGTAAAAATAAAAAATGATATAGGATTGTATCAATGTGTATTATTAGAAGTAACAAAATTACTTATCTTGGCATAAGTTTTTAGAAAGTGAATGTCTGTAGACTGGAAATATAAAATTGGTGCCTGTGTTGTAGTCAGTAAAACCACTCCAGAGATGAAGGCTTGTATTAATAAATAGGGTCTCTTTTTTGTATCTCCGTTGGTGGTATTTAGGTCTGTCATACTTTTATAATGTACTTTTTCAAAGGCCTCCATGATCTGCAATATCTTATCCTTGGTAAAATATGCAAAGGTCCCCATAAATGCCCATCAAAACATGTTGTTACAGTAAAGATAGATATAAAAATAGCTTTGACTAGAATGTTGAGAATGTTTGAAAATATATAATATAATATAAGCTAATTTTTCCTGTGTACTCTATTGGTCAATAATTTAGTGATAGAAAAGATGTAGGGGTTAAAGCAAAACAGAAATATGAGTCTGATGGTCTGCAGATGTAATTTTCATTTGAGATAGGAGAAGAGAGCTTAATTTAAAATCTTTTTATCCAGCAGTGTAAGGTAGTGACTCCCATGCTTCCATGTGTTCAATGGGAAAAGTTGTGAATTTTACAGATACTGTATTTTTTAAAGTCATAAAGTCTTAAAATTAGAATATTTTTTATTGAGTGGTAACAACAAAACTGAAAAGCAGGCTACCTTATTGTTCAGTTTTACGCAGAAATAAGGTTCTTAAGTAACATAACTGAAAAATTGATAATTTTTTCCCTTTGAAAAGATCGTAGTCAATAGCTTAGTGTTTAACTGTTAATTCAGCAAAAAATACCAGTGTTGTTAGCTCTCCAGCTGCGCCTTGAGTCTCTCTTTCTTCTTGGCCAAAACTGACCGCTGACTACAAAAGTAGGTCACTCACTATCAAGTAAATTACACCGAATGACCATACATATGCCAGTCTGGACATTACTGTCTGGACAGTTGCCTATTACTTTTCATGTTAAATAAGAGAGGCAAGTGATGGCTTGAGTTATTTATATAAATATATTTCATTGGGACTTTGCAACAGCATGTTTTTACTGTGTAGGAAAAGTAAGGACATTTGTTTATGAGTAATTGATGGTTAGATTTTTGGTCCTGCTGTTAGTTTGACATTTTGAAATAAAAATTGATTAGATGAAATTAACAAGAATTGATAAGAAAAGAAAAAGCAGGTAACTGAGGTTTTTGCTTACAAAAAGGTAACTTGAAGGATCATCTTTGCACAGAGTCAGAGTATTATTTTAGTATTATATCAGGTGTTCAAGTGCTTTTTTCTCCTTTTCCCCCCAGGTCGTTCCTTCCATGTAGTGGTATGGATCCCGGGAAATCATCAAACTCCCAAAGTCCTGGGCGAGGCATGTTTGACGCTGCCAATCTTATCAGTAAGTACATCTGGTATTTACAAACTTCATTTGTTTTTTTTTTATTTTAGGAATTTTATATTTTACATTTTTGTCTTTCTTGACTTTAGATAAGTCTTGTGTTAAGAATCAATTTTATACTAATCAAGTGTAAACAGTATCCTTACATTCCATTATTATGGCTGTGATGATTGATTCTGGAAACTTGTAAAAATTATAGACACTCAATGATAAATGATGAGGGGTGATATTCATTGCTCCGAGTGTCAGGAAACCAATTAAAATTGACAGAAGTGCTAATTGACAATTATAACAATGTAATTAACCCAGGTAAAGCGGCTACATAGGAAACATCTCCAGGGTTGTGGGCTGAGGAAAATGTCTTTGGAGGGGGGGGGGGGGGGGGGAGAGAAGGGGGAGGGGTGGCATTTGTAGGGCTTAAATAATTTTTAAGGAAGTACTCCTTAGTACTCTTCTAGACACTGACTGGAGAAAAAGTAAGAGGCTTTTGATGGACTAGGAGAAAAGAATTGGGTAGCATTTTGTAAAGAACTCCTTCCCTCCCACTATATTTTTTTTCCAAAAATCTCTGTGGTTGAGGGAGGGTGGGTTGGGGTGTCTGTTTTTCTGAACCTTCATGTCTCTCCTTTTCCAGCATTGAACTAATGGAAATTTGCAAGACTGCTGTTTTCTCTCCTATAAAATGAGGGAAAGAGATAAAAATGGATATTCTCTAAGATGCAGCTAATGTATCATATATCTGACTCATTGCCATAATTTTCTGCCTCACTGTTTATAACATCTGCTCTCTTTTTAGTGGCTCTCTTAATATTTTAGTAATTAAAAAGCACATCATTTTGATTAAAATTCATTTCTCAAGGTTTTTCCTCATAACATTTGCTGGTATATCCACAGTGTCTATACAGGTATCATCTTTGCTCTTGTGAGTTGATGCAAAGGTCAGGTTAACATGATTTTTTATAGAACAGTAAATTATACTTATTCAAATGAGAATGCTGAGGGAGATCTATATTGCACAGAAAGAAAGCAATAAATATCCATTCAAATATATTTCAGGAAATATGAAACAATGCACTTTGGTATTTCTCTCTAGATTGTACTATTTGAAACTTTGGTGGTATTTTGTCAGGTTTTGTGGCAAGACAAATGGACTTTAGATATATCTTTAAGTATTGTAGTAAATGAATTTGTTTTTGGAGTCTGAGGGTAATGTTAAGAGTGGCAAGGCAACTTAGAAGAGGGGTTCAAGTCATGTCAGTGTGTTAAGGTCCTTTTCAGGACTATCTTAAGTGTTTAAGGGCGTATTCCCAGACATTTAGATCGATCTATCCCCGTGAGGAGTCTCACTAGATTACTGTCAGATAATCCGGCTTAAATGTCCGTCCTGCCTACTACAAGCTGTAAGGGGGTAATTAACTTTCGTGCCCGCTCGGCTGACAGCTATTTAGCGTGAACCCCCAAGGAGTTAGGTCGATCTAGTTTGGATCGATCTAATCTCTGGGAATGGGGTCTAAAACAGTTTTAAGTCTATCCCCAGAAAGTTACTAGTAAGTAGATCCAGCCTGACTGTGACCCTTGGAAATAAAATTATAGTTAAGGGGAGGAGGTTATGAAATTCGAGGGTGCTGATATAAGGTGATACACAGGGAGACGACACACTCAGAGATTTTCTTCCAAAATTCATGGCCACCAGATCTGCAAATACTTCATACTTACTATCTTGGGCAAAAACTTCTATATAATTGATGTATTTAAAATAATTCACCCCCCCCCCCCCCCCACCCCTACGAGCAACTATTGGTGTAGATTGATATCAAAATCTTTTGGATATGACATGATGAATCATGCACACCATGGTAAAAAGTCAGTACCACCATGCACAATAATGGCGGATCAGTTGTCTGGTCATTAGATTGGTCAAAGTGAAACAGGTGTTTGTGACCATATGGTTTGTGTAGGTTCTGGGTTAATTAATTTATAAAAAATATAAGTGCAGTCTGAGACATCTGTGTAACCATGTGGTCAAATATATGTATAGAAATCAGGACTGTGAAAATTGCGATTTTTCTGCTTGGAAACATTAATTGAAGATACAGATACATTTAAAATGACATATCAGGCAAATATAAGTTCTAATAAGGATATTAGTTAGTGCTTCTTGTTGTAAGTAAGATTTATTAAACACACTATATGAAAAGTGCGACAGAAATGCTGAAAATTTTGCTGTGGAACTTTCAAAGGCATCAAAAAGTGGACAGTGAGTTACATTCCATCTTCTACTTACTAGAAAACCCTAGACTTCTTTATTGATTTCTGTGCCTTAAAGCTGAAGCAGAACAAGCAGAAATTTGCCAAATGACAGCCTGAAAATGATGTCCAAGATCTAAATTACTCAGATGAAGCGAGAACACGCTATCTTTTTTCTTCTGATACAGTAAGTGGGGTGGCCTTATGTTTTATGAAGTATGAAATTGTTTCCTGAAGCATAGTTGCAGAATACTTAACTCCACAAGAAGTTATTTAATACAGTAAAGTACTTTTACAATAACAGAATAAGCACATATTGTGGATATTTATTTGCAATGTTTAGAAAACGCTTAATTGTCACTAGGGTATAAAGAAAATGTAGCAAATATGGAAAGGGGTTGCTAACATTGGCTCACTATGGTAGCACTGCTGCCATCTAGTGATGCTTTTTTCTGCAGGTATTGCTCTCAAATGGACCAGAATTTTGTAGCCAAATTTGTAATGAGAGTCAAAAATTTTGGTATTTTTTTTCTCTGAGAATTGACTATTTTTTTAGACATACCTAGTGGGGAAAGTTAAATAAAGAATTTCAGTTTATTATATAGATAATTAATTTGGTCAAAATAATCTCACAGTAATCATTTGGAGTGAGTCCTAAGTGCTATAAATAATGATGCTTCTGTTGGAAATAATCCTTTGAATTTTACTTATAAATTGAGTTATTTGTCTTACGTTTGTGAATAAGAGGAAATCTGTCAGCTTTGCGAATTTTTGTGGCCATCTTTTTTTCAGACCCACCACCAAACACTGCTTGTTATGTAAGGCAAATCATAATACCATGTTGGTAAAAAAAAAATCATAAGTAAAAAGAAGTACCTGTAACACTAACAGAGTTACTATTAAGATTATTTGAGAAAGCTTCTGAAAGGAATCATTTTAAGCAAAGTTTTATTTTTAAATATTATTTAAATAATAATAACAATAACAATAATATGAAGTTAAAATTGTAAATAGACAAAATTCAATGAATCATGGTATTGAAACAGAGTACACAGTCATGAAAACTTCTGAAATTGTTTTTTTAGGGATCATTATCAAATGTATAAAAATCTGTGCAAAAGATGTGACCACTACTCCTCCATTGTGATGGCTTCAACTATTGATTCCTCAGACGCTAAACATCACATATTACATCAACGAGGGAGTAATTTTAGGAGTTATTTTAGATAATAGTGACTTAAGCAGATCTGTTTCGANTTTTTTTTTTTAGGGGTCATTATCAAATGTATAAAAATCTGCGCAAAAGATGTGACCACTACTCCTCGATTGTGATGGCTTCAACTATTGATTCCTCAGATGCTAAACATCACATATTACATCAACGAGGGAGTAATTTTAGGAGTTATTTTAGATAATAGTGACTTAAGCAGATCTGTTTCGAACATCAGATATCATCCTATGGCATCGCTGGAGTTAGAATTCTTAATTATTGTATATTGTTAGTATTTACTGGTAAAGGTGTGTTCTTAGACTTGCCGATGAAATAAGATAATTTTGTATTATTTGTGGACGTACATTATTATTTTATCATTGGCATCTCTGGATTACTAGTATTTTGAATTGGTACTGATAGACACAGATGGTGCTCAGTGTTAGAGAGTTCAATCACTAGTAGAACTAAGTAGAACGTGGGAATTGAAGCCTCTATTCATATTTCAAGGAAATAGAAAATAAAAGTCTAAAATGCTGTCTGATAGGATGTATTAAGGCACTGACCAGAAAAAAAGGCGTTTTCATTGACTAGAAGTCCCAATATTCCACTGGAGTGGACTGCTGTTATTTATCATGGGTTACTGAGTATAAGAGTGCTTAACATTTGCTGTACCATAACAAAGGACCATTTTCCAGTGAAGAATTCATACCTCTTATATTTAAACTGTGCTTATAATGATGCCAGCTGATGGCACTACAATGTTGTGATTGTGATTGTGTTTCAGGCCCATTCAGCACAGCTACCACATCATCTTCCTTTGTCCCTCTCTCCAGCATCCCCAGTGCTTTCTCCATGTTTGGTCGCCACCCTGTGTTCCCACCGCCCTTTGGAGGACTAGGTGTATTGAGCCCAGGGATTGGTCCAGGAATTGGACCAATGACAGGTAAGTTTAGAAACTTCTGTGTTATATACCCTCTCCTCCCCCTCCCCACCACCACCAGATTAAAAATTATTTAAAGATTCTGCATTAATAATAACCTGTCTAACTGTTTTGAAGTGCTGACTGGTATTCATGCTTAAAGCTTAAACGTATTGAAAAAGAAAAGAAGAAGAAGAAAAAAAATTCAAGCACATGCGCGAGGATGCATATCTTGTAGATGACAATTTATTTAAATATTCCATTTTTGGCAAGAGCAGTAGATGAATAACAGTAAGCCTTCTGGTTAATCTAGCTGTAGCAGAATATGACAAAGTCCTTCAACCAGTTTTGTAACAGCTAGAAAGCCTCTGATAGAAATTAAATTATGTTAAGGATCATGCTAGTGTTACAATCTATCATACTTGATTAATTAACCCTTTTGATGTTATGTCAAATGCCGATATTTCATTTATTTTAAAACAAATGAACTTTCTGTGTTACTAACTTGACAGCAGGCATACTTCATCACAAATCAGACAGTAGAGCTACAAAATGTTTTCAGTAATTACTGAAAACATTTATTTAAGTATGATTAAGTTTAGTGAAACTAAAACCTATATGCCAGTATAACAGGTGGTTGGTAAGATTTCTGAACTGGTTGTCACAGGATTCATAATCTTGATGACAGAAATTCATATTTTTGGTCATTTTGTGTATAAATACATTTTATGTCTTTTTTGATCTAACAAATTTGATCTTGAGCCTAATTTCATGTCACAGACTCATTGTGCTGTTTTTTTCTTTTTTTCATTCATTCTTTCTTTTTTGCCTGCTTCTGCTGATTGCACATATTCAATTATTGTATCAATCGCTACCTGCATTAAAATTCCTAAACTGGGTGTTTTTTAAAGTTGTTTTTAAAAAATCCCATTACGTGTCTGTTTTGTTAAATGAAAGTAAAGTTTGGAATTTCATATGAAGTGGTCTTTAAAAGGTCAAATAGCATCACCTGGAAAACAATAACCTAAGATTAAAAGAATAAACACGTGTATATAAAGTTTAATCCACATTGTGTGACTTTTAAGATCTTTTCTGAAACCTGTACCAGGAAAAATTTTCACAGGGAGTGGCGGCTGTATGCCTTGTAAATTATTCTGATAAAAAAATTAAGCTTTTTTTTTTTTAAATCAGTGGACATTAACATTAATTTTATTTTTTCAATATACTTTGTGCAGCTGCAGTGGATATAACTGTTTAGGGCTTGTGCAATATGCATGGCTGACATTTCAGATGCTAAACTTTCATATTTTATGCTTACATGCAATATTTATGATATGCCACATAGGCAAATGCGTAGGCATTTTATTTACATTTATGATATGCCACATAGGAAAACACATGGATTGCATTCAGATCACACATTGTACTAGCTGGGTCTGTCCAACTCTGCAGGGGATTGTCAATAAAGTGAAATCAGTGGCATTAGCTGACATACATCCTAGGGGGAAATTAACTTTTGTGTGCTCATTAAGCCGATTCAACTGATTGCACTTCAGGGACAATCCCCCTCCCCCCCAGAGTTAGACTGATTTAGCTAGTACGATGTGTGAATCTGAATGTGTCCATAAACACTTTCACCGTTAATTGAGGAAGCATAGAATAAGGGCGAATTCAGATTTCGACATTGTACCAGCTAGATCAGTCCGACTCTGCAGGGATTCTCATGTAATCAACTTTAAGACTGGGTTCCCATACCTAGATCATACCTAATCTAACAAGTTTATTTCCTATTGGGACTTCAAAAGTTTATTTCCCCCTTTTCTTAAGAATACTGTGCAATTAACCACCATGCACATAGGCAATGCATAAGACTTTGGCGATAACATGATAATTCTGATCCATCCCTAATGACTGATGACTGCCCCCTTCCAAGATATCATTGAATATTATATTTAACCAAATAGTATTTTACTTGGGGTAAATGGATAGTGTGGTGACAACAGTTATGTCATACAGATTTTTCTGTAAAGCAAGTCGGCAATGAGTTTTCCTGTGTCACCAACAAATGAAATGTCTCCATAATTTTTCCATTTTGCACATATGAAGTGATAACCATCACAGGCTGTATCATTCATGGGATGTACAATGTGAAATGCATCAAAAACTTCCACACCTAGTTTCTTCATTTTCGGTCCCAAAATTTCATTGGTTGCTGATTTCATAAAATAATTGCTATCTTTTCTCCATTCTCCGCCTGTCTGTATGTTAAAGTAGATGAGACGAACCTTTGCCTGTTTGGGATTTCGCTTAATACGGATTATGGCATCGAAGATAATTTTGCTGTGATATAGAATGAAGTCCCTTGCATTTTTACGAGTCAGGTCCCATTGGCCTATGTCAAGAACTATGACATCGGATGCGGACCATGTAGATCGTGACATCAGATGCTTTTGGAGATTTGCAGCAGCAACATCTGGATAATTCCCCCACATTGCTGCAATGTTTTTATTGTAGAAAAAAAGTTCATCTTCAGCACTAATCAAGGCGTATGGAAATTTCATACCGAGTAAATGCATTAAGTAAAGACTAAGGTATCTTATGTGAGAGTCCCCTATGAAAGAGATGCTGGACTTATTTTTTTGACAGCTTACCAGTTCAGTTGGAGTCAAAAAAGGCAGCAAAAGGCCTGTTTGGGACCCCCATCGCCACGTACCATTAACTTTCCACCAGCGTCCATGGACATACTCTGTTAAATTCTCACTATATGTGGCATCCTTAATGTTCAGTCTCTCCTTGGATCTTGGACATACATTGTTATATATACTTAGTGTTTTTTCTAATCTCCCTGGCCATAGGATACTCACATATTCATGATGCCTATACCCCTCAAAGTTAACAAACTCCAAGAAGACAGTGATGTTGACACATGAATGTATCCTTGGACAGTGAGCAGCGTAGGTGCCGTTGAAGTAGTCTTGGACAGGACACCACATCTTCTCTCCACCCATTATTGTGATTCTGAATCCACTTCCCCCAGTGGACAGTGTTTCTTGGCCATTGTGAACAAATTCAGTGATGTTCAAGATGACAGAATCTGGATTGGGTAGTTTTCGGATTAACTGTACTTGATGATGGTACTGCTTGGCATCAGACTTGTACTTGGAATAATCCAAAGGAGAAGTTGTTATATCTGGTTCTTTTGTGGAGTTTGTTATGGTCCAGTAATGGTAAAGTTGCAACATTTCTGTTGGACCAAAACGTATGGGCTCTTCTATGAATCTGTCCTGTGGCTTATTTACATCAGTAGGTATAGAGGCGTTCTTGTGTTTTGCCAGGAACATCATACAAAATACAACAGCAACAATCAGGAGAACTTTGCGGTAAAAAATATATTTAAGCAACCTATGAGTACTCTTTTTTGCAGTATGCATCTGTATATTCATCTTCATCTTACCATCAAGTCTTGATAAAAGAAAACAACATTTGAAGCCACCCAGAAAATGCATTTGGCCACACTCTGTCTTCATGAATATTCATATTCCCCTCTGTGTTACCAGCATCATATTATTTATTCATTATTTATGTACACGTATGTGTATAGATAAGACTTGATCTTTCTAATGGGGGAAAAATTGTGAATTTTACAGATACTGTATTTTTTATTGTAATAAATTCTTAAAACATTAGAATTGAGTGTTAATAACAAAACTGAAAAGCAGGCTACCCTTTGGTTTTATTCTTGAGAATAAAATCACCATATCTAGAGATATAATTTTTATGACCCCTAAATAATGTTGCTGAGGGATTGGTCCCTTTTCCCAACTGAAAATTTTGAGTCATTACACTATTAAAATAGAAGTAGAGAACCCGACTTATCCAGTTGTCTCATCAACCTTTATTTGGATTCTTAATAATTTGTAAAACCATTGGTCCAGGATGATTTCATTATCAGAGTTCACTGGAGTTAGTGAAAAGTGCGGTAAATGGATGTTTAAGTTCATGCAGCTGTCTTTTTTTGCTGATAAGACTATAAGTAAATACTTTTTATTTCTATGTGTACCCTTAAAATATGTGATTTAACTGCATCATGCTAAATAAGTCATTTCAGGCACTGATTGATACAAACTATTTTCAGGCACTTGTCTGTTTAACTTGCCTGTGATCAATATTTGGGATGTAGTAATAGGATAATTGTCACTGTAGGTAATAAACAGCTGGTATATGATAAGTGTGTATAAATTGTTTTTTGACATAAACTCTCTTCTGGCACTTGTTTGTTTAACTTGCCCGTGAACAATTTTTGGGATGTAGTAATGGGATATTGCTATTGTATATAATAAACAGCTGGTATATGATAAGTGTGTATAAATTGTTTTTTGGTAGGAGTTAAGTCATACAGATTTTTCTGTAAAGTAACTGGGCAATGACTTTACCTGTATCACCAACAAATGTTACAGGGCCATGCCTTTTCTTTTTTTGGACACAAGTAGTGAACAAGAGCGCATATTGTATCAGTCATAGGATATACAATGTGGAATGCATACACTTATTATCATTTACGAGGCCTGTATTTACCTTTTATCACCAAGGTTTCCACTGCCTGAAACTGTCGAAAAAAAAATCAAAATCTGTAAACCCATTTTTGAGCTCATATCACTTCAATTACTTAACCCCATAGAGCCCGTCACCGCATATGTGCGGTTCAATTATCGTTTACCCCAAACGCCTAGAACCGCATATGTGCGTATCTTGGAAAGATCGGCTTCTGTACTCTTTTATATAGTTAGTCATGAAATGATATATAGTTTAACATCCGGGTATGTTTCTTGTCTCTCATTGCCACCATTTTTAAAGGCGATAGAAATATATATGAGCGAGAAAACGGCGATTTTCAAGACTTAATTGGAGAAAGTAAAATCAAGATGGCGGCTCCTCGCTACGGTAGGGATCTGCGAAGGGATACTGTTATTGAAATGATTGAAAACATGGACTTTGATGAGAAGTTTTCGTGTGACAGTGACATA